CTTTCTAAATAAAAATATTTAGCATTATAAAAAATATATAATCATATATTTTTTAAATTAATATATTAATTTTTAAAACTTATATATGCTGTGAACATTCTTGAATATTTGAATATTTGAACATTGAACATGGTCAAAAAAAATCTTGAATATAGTAAACATAACAATACTGATTACAGGTATTGTTACAGGGTTGCAGCCTTCTTGATACAATACAACCAAATAACAAGGTCACCCAGTACAGTGATTGACTATTGCAAATATATACAGGGTGAAGGTGTAATAGTTTACTTTACTACACAGCAGTAGGCAAATGGTTCGAGATAATAACAATATATAGATTAACTTTTTATTAACAATATACATAGTGACAACCTTATCTGTAGGAATTACTCTAGAGGAGGAATATCACACTTTATCATTAAAAGGTCATTATATTTGGGTTAAAATGTAGGAACTTAGAATTGGCAGAGAAGGGGAAAAGGTACTCTTGATATATCTTTTTACCTAGTGGGAGTAGTAGAGGTTTGAGTGACATTTCTTGATACTGTACTTGGGGTAGTGGGGATTATGCAGAGATAAGTAAAGTTTGTATAGGGATAGTTGAGACTATGTTTATGTGTATTTGACATTTGTACTTGAAACATTTGAGACATGTGTCAAGGTATTTGGGTTTGTGCAGAGACACTTGGGATTGTGCCAGAACACCTGAAGATTGTGTTAGGATACTTGGGAATTGTGTTGGAGATATTTGAGGATTGTGTTGAAGATACTTGGGATTCTTGTACTGTGATATTTGGCACAGTAAATTGTACTAAGATACATGAAACTTGTATAAGGATACTTGGGATTTGTAAGACAATAATGACATCATAGATGTTACCCAATATTACGTATCTGTATTATACTTCTAATAGTCAATTAAGATCCTATTTTCTAACTACTATATACTATAATATAATTATACTAATAACTAATAATAAATATAATATAAAATACAAGAATGAATATATAACAACTACTAATAATATAATATACTATACTATGCTAAAATCTACTTTGTAACAGTATCTTATTCTAACTAATTAACAAAATACTGTCACTATAATACTGTTTATATATTATATAAATAATTATCCAAATTTTCACTATTAGTAGATTTTGAACTTACTATCACTTGAAGAGTTAACAACTAATTCACTTTACTAAATTACTACACCTTTAATATGCAATTTTTAATTTTCATTAGAATTTATAAGTATAACATTAAACCTAAATATCATACAAAAAATATGCAAAAATTTATGATTTTTAATTAATAATTAAAAATTTAAGCAACTATTAGGATTGGTAAATTACAAGTAAGTTGCATATATTTTACTGATGTAAATTTTATGCAGCTTATGTAAATTACTTGTAAGTTATATAAAATTATAAAATGTTAAATTGATTCCAATACTAATAAAAATTTTTATATTATTTGGCCAGCCTTAATATTTATATTATGTAACTTATAAAGACCTTGTAAGTTACAGTATAACTTATCATGATTTACCATGTAAAGTATGTTGTCAGGTAAGTTTTGGCAACCCTAGTGACCACCCATTAAGTAAAAAATGGACCTGGGCTAATTTTACCACTGGAACTAAAAAATTATTTCCGGCCAAAATTACGTATAATGCAGGCCAGAATTTTGTCGATCACAGTCGTTGGCCAATCAAAATCGAGGATCATCCGCGCATTTTTTGTGCGGCACCTAGGTTTAATAAGAACAGCTGTAATGATCATTCCAAGCACTCATTTGGCACAGGTTTATTATTTCTAATTCACAATTGCTAAATATTAATTTAGAAAGAAAGTTCAATAAACTTAGATGCAAATTTTACTTACACAGCTTTTTAAGCAGAATAATCTAAAAGACCTCAATCCAAAACCAGCAAAGAATTAACAATGTACAATAACATTTAAATTTGCTTATAGGACCTGAAAATGCTGTAATAATTGATCGATTTTTATTATTCGATTTATCATTGATTACTTTCGTAGAAATACATTAAAACCGGACTTCGGACTTCAAGTTTATTATTTTTTATTTACTAGACTCAGCCCTGATCATAGACATATATGTGCCGTATGTGTCGCCTTCAGGGCTGAATCCGGTAAATAATAAATAATAACTTTAAAGCCTGAAGTCTGGTTTTTCTTTGGCATCACTCATACATTCAGAACATGTTTGAGAAACAAATAATTAAGATAAATAATTTCCTAAGAGCATTATAATTATTGAATATGATTAAAAATTAAAAATGATAAATCTGTACACTTACTTTCATCATAAATTTCGTAAACTGTAAAGATTAGTCGTTTCATTAAGTGCTACGCCTTTACCATTTGAAGACACAATCTACAAATATAGTAGCCATCAATTCCAATCTAGATATTGATTAGAAAAAAAAATACATAAATGTCATTAATAACTTTCTTGATATTATTTTTTGATGCAGTGAGATATAACTACATTCAAGTATTTGTCGTGGAAGTTGCGGTAGCAACTCACGACAATAATCAGTTACGTAAATAACTTTTACTCCTATCTGAAGTCGTAATATTGTGTAGTAAACATCATAATTAGAACTATCAATTCCAAATGTAATTATATAAAGCACCATTTTTAGCAATGGTCAGGCAACTGCACGAGTAACAAATTAAAATGCGAAGGAAATGAATAATCAACCATATCCATGGTCAACTTGTTCAAGTAATTTCTATCATGAAATCCGAACCAGTGATTACATCAATTTATCGTTATCATTATTATCGTTATCGTTATCGACCAATAAAGTAATTCGACTAGGTTTAAGTAGGCCAGATTTGATCAGCTACACCAGTTACCTATTATGTACACTATGGTCATGCTTTCTAATGAACACTTTATAGTCTAAAATTTTTTTTATTTGCATGAGAATGCAAAAGAAATACCTTCCAACAAAAGAGACAGTACCTTTGGCTGTGCCTTTGAGTCGTAGGGCACAATCTTTAAAAAATTTTAGAAGAGGTTCATCAACGTATAGTAGAGTAAATAAAAGTAACGGATTTTTTAGGATGGACTCTCAAATTAAACAAACAGTTAGCGTGGATCACGTTTTACAGAATGATAACGAAGAGGAAACTGCACTTAACGAACAGTGCCTTGTACAGGAAGAATTACTTAATAGCGAAGAATTTAATGCACACTATAATGAAAGTAATGTTGAGATCGTTGACAGCCATGATAACAGTGTTCGTCCAACCACCCCCAAAGAAATTTCACCAGTTAAATTGAACCGTAACAATTATAAGAATGGCCTATATGGTGTAACAGCAGGAGAAAGTACCCCTCCGCAACAATCTTCACAAAGTTCTAATCCACAAATCAATGACATTAGGGGCACTACACCAGTAGACACTCCTCCACAAGCCATGCTGGATACGACTAATTCGAAAGATTCAGGAAATAGGCCTGGAACAACTATTAGCGGAACAAGAGTTTTTGTTGGCGATCTCTCCTGGAAACTTTCAGATAAAGAGCTCAGAGCAGAGTTTAAACATTTTGGAACTGTAAATGAAGCACTCGTCATTAGAGATAAAAATACTGGTAAGCATATATGGATAATGGCTTAAGGATAGTTTATTGATTCTATCTTTTAATTATAAATTATATAAGGTCGAAGTAAAGGCTATGGATTCGTTTCTTTCGAAGAGCCGCATTCTGCATTAGACGCAATTAAAGCAATGAATGGTCAACCCATTGATGGTCGTCCTATACGTGTTGAGGCTGCCGAAGAACGACCGATCGATGATCGTTATGAAGGAAAAAAAGATCATATGCAAGACTATAGGCGGCTAAATGACTATCGCAGGGACATGGATCATGGACGAAAAAATTATTATGAATTACGTAACAGAAGAGAAAGGGATATCGATTATAGAAATGAGCCTCATTATAGGCGAGATATTAATCGTCGGTTCGAGAAAAGAGATATTGATGATCGGAGAGAAAATGAAACTCGCCGTGAGGTTGAATATCGCAGAGACATAATGCGTAGGAGAGATAACGAATTTGAGAAACGTGATAGGGATATTGAACGTCGGAGAGAAGAATTTGAAAATAAAAGGGACAGAGGAAACCCTTTAATAGAGCCGCATGAATCGTATCATTCTTCGTCCAAGATACAACCAGGTAAAAATCTGTCTCATACCGATAAAGATCATGAATATGAGCGCGCTCGAACAGATGAAAATGTTAATGAAGAAAAAGATGATGATATTGGCAATCAAAAAAATCATAAACATGAGCATGTTCATTTGCATGATTCTAAATTATCTGGGAGGAGTGATAATACACTTTATGATAGAGAAGTGTATTCAGAAAAGGAAAAGGACAGATCCAAAAATAGTCGCAAACGAGCACGTTCCAGCAGTATACAACAAAGTGATTCGTATTATTCTCAATCTGAAGCTTTGCACACTGATACATCCCCTCACCCTTCTTTACCTCCAGTAATGGCATCACCTCCAAATCGTTCAGCTCTTTCTGAACATATAACATCAGTGCGTCATGAACCTCGATCACCTCTTTTTTATTCTGACATTCCGCAATCATCGCCAAGAATAGCACGAAAAAACTATTATAATGATGGTCATTCTATGGAATTTACGAAGAAATGGGATCAAGTACGTGATAGGGAGCGAGATAGAGGATTTGATCGAGAAAGAGATAGAGAACGTCAGATGGAAAGAGACCGTGAACGAGAAAGGCAAAATTTGGAAAGAGAAAGGGAAATTGAAAGAGATCGAAGAGAAAAAGAATTAAGATCAATTGAAAGAGATTTTACACGAGCGCGCGATCAAACACGTTATTACGAAATGGAAAGGGAATTACCTCGTAATCGAACGTCAGGCTATGAGTACGGTAGAGAAACAGATCGCGTTAGGACTCCGTTTTATAATAGAGAACAAGAATTAAGAGATCGTGATTTTACCCGATATCGAGATACTGAATTGGACCCATATATTAGTCGTCACTCACCACCAGGTCATTCAACATACAAGGATAACTACAAGCGTTTGAATGATTATTATTACAATTCTGCAACATATTCAGCTGCCCGCCGATCAGTATCTCCACGACCACGTTACTCCACACGACGTTCACTTTCTCCAGGCGTTAGACAACCGATTGCAAATTATGAACGTCGATATGATCGAGATCGACCTCCTCGTTTTGATGCTGCCCGTGGCCATGAACTTGATTCTAGACGTGATGATGATTATAATTACCATTATAATGATGTGCACAATCCTGGTTACAATCATTATTCTCCTATGATACATAATAGTCAAACTCACGCGAGATCATATGATGATAATGTCATTGGAACTAATGCAGGTTCTTTAACTAATGAAACTTTCCAGCGAGATCGCCCAAGGTCAAGACATTGGGGAGTCAACAATGAGAAAGAAAGGGATATAAAAAGGATTCATAACAACCCAAATGATGTGTATTCTGATAGCTATGATCGTTATAGGCGCGAGCGACGTAAACCGTGGGATGTTGTTGAAAAAAGTAGAGAAGATGAAGATGAGCAAAATGAATCTAGCATTACCACTGCTACTGCCACTAATATCCAGGAGAGAGCTCGGGATCGAGAACGAGATGAAAGACAAAGAAGCTGGGATGTGAAAGAGGAAAAAACTAGAGATGTTAAATCAGAACGCAATAATGGTGGCACTATTACTAAGGATACTTATGAGCGTCAAATTCCGCGTGAAAGATCTACAAAGTATTGGGATATGAATGAGGACAAAAGTAGAGAGCTTGAGCGCAATTCCAATAAGAACCGTGATCGTGATAATCGAGGCAACCAAGAACGAGGTGAATTTGAGCAGGCATTTCCTTCATTAAATGATGATCATCCTTCTACCCCTGCACTTGATTTCTTTCCTCCTATTACTATGCCAACGGATTCTTTTGCCCTTCAATCATCGCCATCAATTGGTAACAACGGTCATGCAAAAAATAATCATACGCACTTCTAATTTAGCCAATTTGTCTACCATTTTATTGCGTTATCGATGGTCACGCTTTTTTGTTTCTTTTTATGTGTTGATTCTCTCACATTTCTGTGTGATATAAATAAAATAAAAAATACTTTATTGAATTACTCTTTTTTTTCGTTCCTGATAGGAGCGATATGATCTTGTTCCACTCTCACTCAATATGACATCCTCGCTGACAAAAGGGGACTTTACTAGTTTACTTGATGTCTCTGGGGACAGTTGACAATTGTTGATTCTCTCAAGATGTAAATCTAATTACTTCAAATAGGAAATGACGAAAGAAATGCATCTACAATAATTTTGGTCTGGCACAAATCTGCTGTATATTATACATAGTAACTTGTATCTCGAACTTTTAGCACAAAATATGTATAACAAGGAAGAAATTTCACTTTTTTTTTTTTTGTAAAAAAAAAAAAAAAGGTTATTAAAATTTATTATATTTATAAAAAATATATGTATGTATATATATATTATACTATATATATATATTTGTTATAATTATTTTAATTTGTTATCAATTGAATTTTATTACTTTTTAAGCTTGATTACAAAAAAATGCTGTATGTTAAAACTTTGCCCGAAGCAAATATGTATTGTTGCAACTGAAACTAAGGTCGACTAAAGCCGAGAATTGGAGCTTCGACTTGAATTTATAAATTTACTAAAACCCACTATATTTGGATTATAACTTTATAATTCTAATAGCTAACGCTAACTTTTATTTAAATTACACAGTATTATTAAACTACCATAGATATTATAACCCGTGACTAATTATGATTGGCCGAGAATGCAAGTTGTTGCGCAAATAGATGCACAGACTGCCTTTAAAAATAGATCTACAATTTGATGCTGCGGCAGCGTTTTTACTTTCTTCCACAAAACTAGAGGCTTATTACAATGGCTGGTCGAGGTCTCCCAATGCTGGTATACTTTTTTTTTTTTTTTTTTTCAAGAATAAATGTAAAGCGTGTTGATAAGTTTACGATTTATCAAGCGAGTGATAATGGCTTAATCAACGGCCTTAGAAATGCTAGAGTATTCTATATAAATTATACCTTTATGTTTTATTTTATTAGCAACCACAAATTATTTTGCTGAAGGAAGGTACTGATTCGTCCCAAGGTCGCGGTCAACTTTTATCTAACATAAATGCTTGCCTTGCCGTGGTTGATACTGTGAGGACGACGTTAGGACCAAGAGGCATGGATAAATTAATCGTTGATGAAAAGGGTAAAATTTAAATAAAGTAACATCGTGGTGGTCGGAATTACATAGTAAATTTGGGAGTTTACAATATCTTTTGGCAGGTGAAATTACAATCTCAAATGATGGTGCCACAATCATGAAACTCCTTGATATTGTGCATCCCGCTGCTAAAACTCTCGTTGATATCGCAAGATCGCAGGATGCTGAAGTATATATATATTATTGCAAAAATATTAAATAGCAGAAAAGATATAAATTACCAATATGGAAAAAATAACTAAATAATATATAGGTCGGTGATGGAACAACAAGTGTAGTTTTACTCGCGGGTGAATTACTAAAGGAGGTCAAAGGCTACATTGAGGAAGGTGTTAGTCCTTATGTGATAATTAAAGGTTATAGAAAAGCAGCCCAACTGGTAAATTATCTAATTTTTTAGACCTATCTATAACTTTTAGAGATTAAAATACTGAAAGTTCTTGTAATTATTACTTATTATATAGGCAATTAACAAAGTTAAAGAAATTGCAGTTAAGGTTGAACGAGATAATAAGGAGTGAGTTTAATTAAGTTATTCCAAATCTGGGACTTATAGGAAATATATTAATTGATTCTTGGTTTAAAGTGAATTCCGTGATTTGCTTATAAAATGTTCCAAAACTGCAATGTCATCCAAATTAATTCATTCGCACCAAGATTTCTTCGCAGACATGGTGGTCAATGCTGTATTGACGTTAGATCAAGAAGAATTAAATGAAAAGCTGATCGGTATTAAAAGGATTCCTGGTGGCGCCATGCAAGTGAGTTGCATTATTGTCCAATTCGCTCAATAATCAGAGATTATCGCTAATTTTTGAATTTAATTCTTGTATCGTTTTTAATTACATATGACGGACAAATTTAAAAGGACTCACTACTTATTAATGGAGTTGCATTCAAAAAAACCTTTTCTTATGCTGGGTTTGAACAGCAACCTAAACATTTTAAGAACCCAAAAATCTTATCATTGAATGTTGAACTGGAATTGAAAGCTGAAAAAGATAATGCAGAAGTTCGCATAGAAGACGTTAATGTATGTACTTGTATTAATATAATCTTGTTTTATTTTTATTATTGTTACTAAAATATTTTATATACAATAATAGGAATATCAGGCCATCGTTGATGCCGAGTGGTCTATTATATATTCAAAGCTCGAAGCCATTGTTAAAACTGGAGCTAAAGTAGTATTATCTAAATTACCTATAGGTGATTTGGCCACTCAATATTTCGCTGATAGAGATATATTTTGTGCTGGCCGTGTTCCTGCTGAAGATCTTAATCGTGTAGTAAAAGCTGTTGGTGGATCTATACAATCAACGTGTTCAGATATTGAAGATAAACATTTGGGTACATGCGAGTCTTTTGAAGAAAACCAAATTGGTGGAGAAAGAATCAATTTGTTTAAAGGTTGTTCAGCAGCTAAGACTTGTACTTTGATTTTGAGGGGAGGTGCTGAGCAATTTATTGCTGAAGTTGAACGAAGTTTACATGATGCAATTATGATAGTCAAAAGAACTATTAAAAATAATTTAATAGTTGCTGGCGGTGGTGCTACGGAGGTTTTTTTTATTTTTTATTTTTTTGATTTGTTTTTTGAAAAAGCCTTTGGTATGAATTGTTAAATAATAGATTATTTGCTATCCTTAACTATTTCATTGTAGATGGAGCTGTCTAAATACCTTCGCGATCATTCCCGAACAATCGAGGGAAAGCAACAATTGATTATTAGCGCTTTTGCTCGTGCGTTAGAAATAATTCCCCGTCAATTATGTGATAATGCGGGTTTTGACGCAACAGATATTTTAAATAATTTACGGATGAAACACGCACAAGGTAACCAATCATATTTCAGTTATTAGTTTTATTATTTTATTGACGTGTCAAACCAAATCTTTTTAGGTGCCATTTGGTATGGTGTGGATATTAATTCTGAATCAGTAGCCGATAATTTTGAGGCATTCGTTTGGGAGCCTACACTTGTAAAAACAAATTCTATTTCCGCTGCGACTGAAGCAGCATGTTTGATATTAAGTGTTGATGAAACTGTCAAAAATCCAGCTTCTGAAAAACCACAATCAGGACCACCAATGCCAAGAGGTGGTATGCAAAGGGCACTAAGAGGTGGTCGTGGTCGAGGAATTCCTCGACGATAGTGCTTGGGTCTTGATTAGGTTTGGTTTAGGTTCTAAAACTTATGTTCCAAATTAAAAACCTAAAAATCAGGTTTTTTTATATAGTAAGTTACAAACCTAAATTAAACTTGGTTTGGTTCAAACCCAAACTTTAAAACCTGATTATCAATGTTCTGTAAGACATAAAAAATAAAAATATATTAATAAAAGTTACTTAATTCATAAACTTTTTGAATATATAGATTTTATCTGAATAACTTAATGTGCTAATATGATTGGCTTTAATAAAGTAAAAGGGAGGTTTTACGCGAGTAGTACAAACCAAAAAGGGGGAACGTCTAAAGTGGAGTAGATTCCTTATAAATATTTTGTTGAATTAACTTTAGGGTTAGGGCATCTTTTATTATGGTTTGGTTAGGTTTTAGATAGTTATATATAAGCAAAATTGTCTTTCCGGCATTTTTAGTTAATCTACCCGAAATAGGTTTAGACTGCCATTTTTCGTATGTTTTAGGTTTTTCGTTTTTATTTCTTGTTTGCTTCGCTGGCGATCATCCTAATTCTATAATTGATTGGCCTGATTCCGCTCCGCTTTAGACCCCATTTATAGAATAACTAGGGAGTGGAACCGCCTAAAATAATTCTAACCTATGACTAACATAATTCTGCTTGAAACTATCAAACAATTTTTAAATAATTAAATGTTCTAATTCCTACTGATAATCATACTTATATTTTGTATTCATTTATTATTTACCTTTTCATGTATATCTAACAAATTTATTAAATTTCTCAAATATGATTAAGCAACAGACACTTCTCTTTTCTTTTATATTATAAACATATTTTAGAATTCTTTAGAAACAGAAACCTAAGAATAAACCTTTTTGTTATTATTATTTTTTTTTTTAAATGTTAAGGTGAGTACATGCGACCCAGGATTTTACTGATAGTATAAGTTGGTTAGCACCTGTACATGTACAGACACAGAGGCAATTACAAAAAGAGTGTACAACTAGTCATTCATATAACTTTAGTCATTGTCTAATTTAAGTAGTTCACTCGAAGGTTCTACACTAGTTGTTATACCTAGAACCCGCTTGTAGATTCTCTATTTAAACACTCTGATCCTGCATTCACCACACCTTACCAGTGACTCTGGTAAACCAGTGAAGATATGCCATAGTCATTAAGTCATATTTAATTTTATACTAAACCTATCAGTACGTTCTGTATTTTATACTTACAGCTCACCCGGTTATGCTTTGGCCTAAACCATCACTTACAGTTAGGGCTAACCATTAAACCACTTTTACTCTTGTAAGGTTTACCTAAAACCCTAGTACTCATCTTTTCGATATTCTCTTCATCATCCCCTACTAATCGCTACTCAGGACTGACAGGACTCTCCAAACTTCCAAACCAGATGGTCTAGTATGGTATACCTTAGTATCCTTTTCCTCTAGTGATTCTGGTGGCCTGGTTGGTTATATGCTCCTCTATACATCTTGTCATCCGGTTTATCTGCCTATTCCTTTGGGGTGTTTCATGGGCTTTCATCAGTCTGATAGCACCATTAAAAGTTTTGTGCTACCTTCTTACTCAGGATTTTCAAGTGGGTTTCCAACTCTTCAGTTCCTTTGCTTTCTATGCCCAGTGGTCTTATCATGGGTTTCCACCGAAGTCTTATGCAACACCAGTTATTAACATTCCTCTATGTGGATGTAACATTATACTTAGCATAGATGCTCTGAGCTCTCATTCGAGATGATGCAACAAAGGTTACAGATACACTAATCTAACCGATCGACAGAGACAGTTACCATAATACAGACTTATTTTCCAAAATTCATTATCTATGGAATTTGAACTCTAGACCTGCCACTTGGGGGTTGACAACCTGACTACTTCACTAGGTCACTACACCCTTTCTTGTTATTATTTTAATAAATGTTTTTAATTATAAACTATATTAATACTCATCCTCTAGAGTAATTTCTACATATAAGGTTTATTTTCTTGTAATAAAATAAAGTTATTAGTATTGTATTACTTTTTTTGAACTGTTTCAAAAAAGAATATAGTTTTTTAACAATGTCTAATAAAAGCTATACTTTTCTCTTAAATACTATATATATCTGTAAAAGTTCTCTGTACTGTGTTATTATTATAATATAAAAATTAAGAAGACTTTCACCTATAATAATATCTATTTTTATAGCTAATCTAATATTACTATTACAAAACTAATATGTATTTATAATTGGAACTAGTTATTAAACTATTATACTATTACAAAGTTTACTTAAACCTTAGTATTACTTTATAGCATATTTAAAATACTTTAATATATTTTTATATTGTTTTTAAACTTTTAATTTAAATAGTCTAATAGGACTATAACTAGTTTATTAATATATTATATTAATCTGATATTTTTTTCTAATTTAATTCTGATGACCTGATTAATAGTATTTTTTACTCAAAGGTTTTTGTCTATTTAGTTCTTTTATATTAATATTTATTTTATAAAACTAACTTTTATAGTAGTATTATTAAAGATTTATGCTACTTTTTTGTTTGGGTCTTTTTAAATAAACTTTTTGTATTTTAATTTTTATAAATTTACATAGTTACAAAGACTTATTTAGAGTTTGTATCACTTAATGCTGATTTGCATCTTTTTATATAGCTAGTTACACAAATGCTCTATAACCTGTCAGTTATACTAATATGATTGTAATTACAGATATTATAATCTAATTATTAGAAACAGTTATTATAATACAAATATTCACTCTTCCTGCTGATCACTCAAACACAAATTCAGCAAGAAACAAAAATTAATTTTATGCAAAAACAGCTGTCTGAACCATCCTGGTAGGACTAAATAAAAAAGAAGAGTATCCAGAAAAGGTACAAAAAAAGAAGAGGCAGCTAAAAAATAAGTAGACTAACAAAAGAAAAACAAGAGAACCAAAAATTTGTCTTTTGAAAATATGTATAAACAAAAATTTTAGAGAATTGGTACTAACCTTGTATTGCAGATCTATTTTGATCATGAGAACACAAACATGTAAACAGACAAACAAACCAGTCACATAGGCAAACAAACCAGTCATGTGCAAACAAAACAAAACAGACATATACAAAAATAAAGCAAAAATATGAATGCACTAGAAGAACGTGGTGATAGTCTAATGACAACATATATCCAAAGAGAATACTGAGCCATTAATAGTGTACACAATAAGGTATTTCTTAATCAAGCAGGTAAAATATATATTATATCTAATAGAGAAGACAAAATCGTTGCCATGCTAACAGAACAGAATCCAAATAAGGTTGCACTACTAAGATTAACAAGGGAGTTAATAAGAAAAGCAGAAATAAAGCAGCCAGCAAAAAAGCTAAACATAGTAGAACAAAGTAATTATGTAATAATAATAAAACCAGCCTTAGAACAAACAGATGGCACATTAAAAAAGCAACTTCAACCAATAAAACTAGAATTAATTCAAAAGACTAGACAATAATCTATATTATAAGTAGATATAGAAGTAGGTAGGCATCATGAAGAAAAAATACAACAAACTAACTTAGCAGCTCAACAAGAAAAAATTACAAAGAAAATGAGTCTAAATGCAAATTGGAAAGAATCAAAACTTAGCATAGCAACAGAAAAGGCAGAAGCACAATACGAAACAAAACAAGAATTCAAAAAAAAAATCGATATAGTAGAAGAACTACTAGAGAAGAGCATGTAGGCATCAAACAAAAGAGATTAAAATCAAAATAACAGTCTACTTGCCAACATACCAGCACATAACATGCCAGAAACAATAAAAGAAAAATGTACAAAATTTATCAAATAGTTACTTAAAAACAATGAACATGTTAAAGCCATTAAAGAAGTCTTCAAAAGAGATAACTTGTGGATAGAGGTAGATTTTGATTGCGAACATAGCAGAAATGAAGCAATCCAAAGAATCAGCAGAAAAGAAAGCGATTAATATAAACTAATACCAGAAGAACAGAAAGGCACAAAAGGAAAACAAAGATTATACAAGGAAGAATACTGCAAAAGAAGAAATAGTAGGAGGAAGAGACACATGACAAGAAAAAAACTAAGACAGAAGATGACACAAATGACTACAAGTTGGATGAGAAATCTAGTGACAAAGTATACATAACAATATAGGACTTGCCAATAAACATTAATAGAAGGAAGCTAGAATATATCTGCAGAAGATTCAAAAATGCCCAAATAATAAGAATCAAAAGATCAAAATATAAGGCACTTGCAATTGTGCAGATAGAAGAAGACAAAAAAGAAGACATTTCATAGGTCATATTAGTTAACAATGATAAACTAGTACAAATAACTAGAGAAAAAGAAAACTATAAAGCAAAAGAAAAACAGAGAAAATATACAGCAAAGTTAACTGAACTACTCAGAAATGTCTCAGAAGTCTTACTACTATGATGTCTAAGAAGCAAAGATGTTAAGTCAGTTTATATCCTTTCAAACAGAAATAGAAACCAGAAAAAAACAGCAATAGTAATGTTTACAACAGAAAAAAACATGAATGCAGCTCAAACAAAACCAATTTTGTATAATAACTTTAGAGTTTATTGGATTAATAAAGAGAAAGCAGAGATAAGAAAAAGAGAAAGTTGCAAAGTTAAAAGAGAAAGAAGTTGGGACAGATTTAGCCAGACCTCAGATGCAAAAGAGGTTAAAAGTAACAAAGAAAGACAAAGAAACAAGACTTATGTGAACAAAAATAGGTACAGAAGTGGCATAGGCCATGAAGATACCTCACTAAAAGAAAGAAACAAACCCCAAGACTGGTACAAAAGGAATCAAGAAAGAGACACAAGTACAAAAAATTGAAAAGAAAAAAGTCATGAAAGAAAAACAGAAGAAGCCAAGCTACAAAAACAAGAAAATGAACCATGTATAAAGAACTTCTTAGAGCAAATTTGGGAGCGACTAGAAAGACTAAAGAAAACAAAAG